GCAAAATGGTTAAAAAAATAGTTCATATCAACCCGTTAAAACAAAAATGTTAAACTATTTTCATGTTCTTCTAAGATTTATTTTAGAAAATCGTTAATTACTCCCAAACCGTAACCGCTAGGACTAAAAGTCCCCTAGCATTTAAGTCTGAGTTTGAGTCATTGGTGGGCAGCAACAGTCCGCTCTCCTGCCCCCTTCTTGGCGGCGCACATGATGGTGTAACACATTTCCATTTTTTTGTAAATAAAGAGCTTAAAAATTGTTTTTTCGACATGGAAAAAAAGCCTAAAACTTATTTCGACTCTCTTAAGTCTAGATAACGATTGGCTTAATTTAGGTGGTTTAATTTGGCTGTGCAAGAAATAACCGTAAACTTGAAAAGTAAAACGTAACTTTTGTTTCTTTATTGGACCTGGAAACATAGCAAACGGTTTTTAGTGTGTCTGGAATAATAATTACATTTAAAGGTTAATTTCTTGCGATTTTATAAACTTGTTTCTTTATTTTTACCAAGAATTAGTGGAGTATATTTTAAAAGTTTTTATGTTGTTTTTTGTGTTTAGTTGCATGTTGTCTATTAAATCTCAAAGAGTTCTTAAAAAATTCTTTAAAAAGACAAATAAATTTGCAGATATCTCAAGTAACAAAAACCTGTAGGTATAAATAGGCTTGTCGCGAAATTATTAATGGCTATTTACGACTCCCGTAATCAGGTGTGATTTACCTATCCAACCAAAACGCATATTTCGAATTCCTGCTACATTTGCAGGTGACAAATCCTGCGTAACCCTACCTGCCGTTTCACGTTCTGCGTGAAAATTTATTGGTCCGCCGAGAACCACTATATTTCACCTAAATAGAGCCGTTTAAATATTCATAAAGGTCGTGCCTGATATAGAACTACATCGATTGACTATCGAAGAATTATATGTGGTTTGTTTGTTAGACGAGAAATATTGCGCGAATGTTTCGTGTTCTATGGCTTTGGAATCGAGACGAAAATCATTTTTGATTTACCGCTACCGTTAAATTGACCGTTTATGTGATTATTAAGTTAGTTAAAACAAAGGAAGTCGTTATTTAGATGTTTATTTAAATTGTAATTTTTAAAAACCAATAAAATTGGGTCAAAATAATTAAGTAACATTCTTTATTTTGGTACTTAAGAATTATACAGTCTAGACTCATTTTCCAAAGCAACTTTTTTGGAAATAAATAATTTACTAAACTTATTTTTTTTTTGCATAAAATGTAATATTATAGTATTACAATTGAATCGGTGAGATTAAGGACAGTACAAGTCCAAAAACATTATTTTAACAAATCATTTTCTAAAATTAATTTAAAAGTTTAAAATGCATTTTTGAGAGACGATATAAAATATTTTATATATAATATAATTATTATATTTTATAAAGTAGTCAAAATATTCTCACAAAAATTTATATTGAACTATAAATCTGATTTAATAAAATTATTTGTCAACATTTTAACTTTTGGACTTTTACTGTTCTTAATCTCATCGATTCAATTGCAATTGACGTTAAAAATGGTCAAAATTGGTCCCCTTTCTAGTGACATGTAAAGACCCCCCCCCCCCGAAGGGTCGTGACGAATACTTCGTAGACGCCCCTACCCCCTAAAAATATTTGTTCGATTCTTTTTTGCAATAATCTGTCTAAAAATAAAACAAATAAGCAATTTCATTCGATTTACTTTGTCACGTGACGTTTTTAAAAACCCTCCCCCCTTCTGGCGTGACAAATCGTGACGGTCCTTAAAATCCTTTTTCTCCCCCTTTAGCGTCACGAGATTTATGGACCTCCAAATATATTGTTCAAATAATTCCTTGAGGGCCCCTAAGGAATTATTTAAACAATACATTTGGGTTAACATGGATTTGTAGATTTGGGCCACAGCCATACCCACCAAGAAGTCCGGATTTAACAATTGTGGATTTTTACTTTTGGGCAAACTAAAACAACAAGTTTATAAAGACAACTTTAACAATGATTTGGATAGATTAAAAAACAAAATTACTAATGTGATCAGAGCCATACCTACCTCTTGAAGAAATAATTTAGAAGAAGGGTGGAATTAAGTAGTAATTTAGATGGGGGTGATCAGATCCATAGGTGGGGCACTATTCAATTAATTTTATTTGAATTTCTTGAAACTGATAATTGTGTTAAAAAATAAAAGGCTGTTTACTTTAATTAGTAGTATTGCTTTTTTTGTTCAAGTCGGGATTTTGCTCTAATTTCCAATGCAAAATATATTATCAAAATTTTTCCGTAAAATCAACGGAAAGACCACTTTACAGATAGGTAGGTATATAACGATTTATTTTCTTCTTAACTCAGATTAACTTACCCCTTTGAACTGTAATTTGGTGAAAATTTATTTTTGGTCAAGCAGGCCGAGACTGCAGAAAATGAAAGCCGTACTAATATATTTTTTGTATATTACACCTATCTTAAAGTCAATCTAGTGACACACTGAATAAATAAATAATCTTAAAAAATAAAATAATAAAAAATTTAATATAATTTTTACTCGTAGAGTATTTTGTATACTTAAATTAACTCCCTTAAGAGCGTGGTACACCATTATAGACAAAAATTGTTTAATATAATTTTTTTCAATAGTTATTAGTAAAGATGGGATATTTAGGTACTAAAAACTGAAAAATAGGTAACTAAAAAGGTACTAAAAAAAGCTTTTTAGGTTAAAAAAACAGCATTTTAGGTAAAAAAAACATTAAAAGTTCAAGTTTATAATTTTGTTTAGCCGCATACCCAAACACAGAACATACCCACAATAAACTATTTCTATGCAATAAACACATGTGTTTCACTGAGTGACAAAACATAAGCTCGCTACAAAGAAGGTACCTGTTACAGTCTGTGACCATAAGAAAAAATTCTATACCGTTGAGTTGCACTCCATGGATAAAATATTGGCGCAAAATTTAAAAAGAACACAAAAAAATAAAATAAGTCAAAATACGTAAAAATAGGTAACAAATAGGTGAAAATAAACTGACAAATTAAAAAATATGTAACAAAAGTATAAAAAGGTAGCTTAAAGCAAAAACCTCCAAAAAAGGTAAAAAAGGTGAAAACAAGTTTAAAAAATAGGTAACAAAAGTATAAAAAAGGTAGTTTAAAGCAAAAACCTCCAAAAAAGGTAAAAAAGGTGAAAACAAGTTAGGTTCATAAAGGGTGTCCGGGAAAAGGAGGTCAATCCGTTAACCATATATTCCTTGAGTTAAAACAATAAGACTTCCATAATACCATTTTTCAATTTAGAGCTTCATGTTCGATATACAGGGCGACAAAGTTTGAAATTTAAAACTGATTTTTTTAATAATTCGAGTAATTGATAAGATATTAAGTTTAAATTCGGTACACTACTTCAACATAAATAGTTAAATTTTTTGAGACCAACAAAACAAAAAACAATTGTTAAATAATCAAAATAGGGGGGTCCAGTACTCACTGACTCCCCCTATTTTTTAGTACGTGCGCCAATGACTTCCAAACGGTATTTTTTCAGGTAATCATTTATTGTTTAAAAAAATTTGTCTCTTATAAAATTTTGATAAAATGATTTGTTTTAGAGATAATTTGTAAAGTATGGGTCAGTCCATATCAAATCAACCAAAGGTTCTTCCCCCACCATCTCCGATTTTGATCATTTTTGGTAAATTTGTTTACCTCACTAAAAAACTCAAAAATCCCAAATATGAATTTTTTTCGATAGGTGGTTTTTGTTTTATTGATTTTTGAAAATCAAAAAATTCCGATAAATTTGGGTCTTGCAAGTACTTACAAAAATAGCGATATCTCGTAAACTATTAAAAGTAGAAAGGTGAGTGATGGCTTATTTTAAAGGCCTATTAGAGAACTTTTTTATGATATATCACATGACCTACATTTTTTCAAAAAAAAATTAAATTTTGAAAATTTGATATGGACTGACCCATACTTTACAAATTATCTCTAAAACAAATCATTTTATCAAAATTGTATAAGAGACAAAACATTTTCAACAATAAATGATTACCTGGAAAAATTCTGTTTGGAAGTCATTGGCGCACGTACTAAAAAATAGGGGGAGTCAGTGAGTACTGGACCCCCCTATTTTTATTATTTGACAATTGTTTTTTGTTTTGTTGGTCTCAAAAAATTTAACTATTTATGTTGAATTAGTGTACCGAATTTAAACTTAGTATCTTATCAATTACTCGAATTATTAAAAAAAAATCAGTTTTTAATTTCAAACTTTGTCGCCCTGTATATCGAACATGAAGGCCTAAATTGAAAAATGGTATTATGAAAGTCTTATTGTTTTAACTCAAGGAATATATGGTTAACGGATTGACCTCCTTTTCCCGGACACCCTATAAAAGAAAATCTTTTAAAACACATTTTGGCATTATTGGTTTTTAAATAGTTACATCGGTTGAAAAAAGGTAAAATAACTAAAATCCCATTCCTAGTTATTATAATAATATAGTAACTGTTTTTAAAGTTTTGATTGTTTTCCACAAACATTTAGAAAATACATTTTTCTAATGATGGTTTTTGTAAAAAAATGTATACCTAATTCATTTTAGGGGAAAAATAATAAACTCTTATATTTAAAAAAAATTAAATATTAATAATATATATCGACTTTATAATATAATAATTATATAATATAATTTATAAGAATTATATTATAATTCTTTTAAATTAAAAATCACATAACTTTAGACAAATGCAACATTTTATAATAATGTCGATGTCAATCTTATTCAAATTTGCGCAATATAAAATTCCTCCTTTCGCTTTTCCTATTTACTTGTCTAATTGAATTTTTTTTTTTTATTAAAACCAAAAAACTCAAACTTGATTTTTAAATATTGAATTTTTATCTTTTTAAATTAAATTGTAGAGGTGTCAAAATTACCGAGGTTGATAAAATAAAAAAAAATGTAGGTATTTTTAACTTACTCTGATTCATTGTTTTCAAACACTAGCTCTCCCTCGTTGATCTCGTACTCCTTAGGGGCTTTGGCAGTGCCATCTTCAGTCCAATACGGCAAAATAACTCTTCCCCTAGCACCAGAACACCGGACCACTTTCAAATCATACGTCCCGACACTTTCAACGATCTCATGATTCTGAGCTTCGAACTTAAACAACCCGCCATGATCGTCATCCAAAATAATCACAGTGGCTGTGGTGGGCGATACCAGGCACCCCGATGGGGTGCTCGAGCTGAGCCTTACGAAAAAGTGTTCATCTGGTTCAAAAACTTCATCATCTATGACTTCCAGGGTCAATTTTTTTTCTTTGTCGCCTGGGTTGAACGTTAAAGATCCTTTAGCTTCCACATAATCACTACCTGATGTAGCTGTTCCATCTTCTGTGGTATAATCTATGGTTACCGCAGCATCTATATCGCCTTGTCTGATAACTCGTATTTCGAACCGACCACAAGACTCTAAAACCGTATATTTGCAAGGTTCAAAGTATACCCTGCAAGAACTTTGATTATATTCAGCATTTCCAGATTCTCTTAGTAGCTCAGCTTTGACTTCACTCAAATCGCTTTGAGCTCTTTCAGAAATTCTACGTAGTAAATCACCACTCCCCATTAACTTCCTCGTAGCTTGAATCCTGTAGAACGCTCTGGATTTTGGACCTTTGTTTAACAACATCTCATGGGCCATGCGTTCCAATGTTGCTAAGTCTGTTGCAGGGTGTTGCTGTTTTAAATCCTTAAGAGTTGTGATGTATTCATGTTTTATCTCTTCGTGAGAGTCATCAAGATTTAGTTCAGTGTTGCCTAATTCGAGGTTATCACCTTCACCTTGTACAATGACACCATGGCGATTCATTCTGTAATCTTTCTGGATGTATTTATACATCTTTCTATCTGCCATGTAAGCTGTAAGGACAGTTAAAGGGAAGAAGAAAAATGTTAAGGTGGCTTCCCATATTTCCACTTCCCCAGGTGAGATGTAAGCGAGGATCATGTACAACCAGACATAGGCGAATATAGACCACGTTGCTGTAACAAAGAAAACACCCAGATGTTTAATTCTACGAACTTCCCCTTTGGGTATTACAGATATGCATATAGCTATGATAACTAGAAGGTTATAGGCTGCAGATCCGACAATTGTACCAGGCCCTAGATCGCCGGCTTCAAAGTTTTTGGCGTAGATTTCGATTACTGATAAGAGGATTTCTGGAGCACTTGAACCTAAAGCCATCAGAGTGAGATTCGCCACAGTTTCGTTCCATATTCGTACAACCACAATTTGAGTATCCCCGTTTGATTTGCGTACGTTAACTTCCTTTTCTTGAGATGTTATGACTTCAATTGATGACATGAATCTGTCGGAGATGATGGAAACACCGATGAACAGATAGGCGAGGATGAGGAAGTACACGGAACCTCGCAGCACCTTCATGGTGATGGCGACGTTGTTCAAGGGGTACCAGCATGGTATAATCAACCCATCCACGCAGTGTATGATGTCCTCGTACGTTGCGTTTCCCATTTTAGTGGCCGCTGGAGCGATGTTTCGTCGTCTGCATTTGCCGCGCGCATAACACGGGACTGCCGGCGCGATACTGACTGTCTCGATGTTCGTGTTTGCTGCCAAACCCCCTTTGGAGCGCGGATAGGCGGCCGGGTTGAAAGAGGCGATTTTCGGCGGATGTGGGGGCGGGGGTTTATTTTTATCGTTTGTGGTTAAAGGATCAGGGGGATTAATAATGTGATTTGTGGGGTGTTTGTTTTAAAGGGTGGTGGTTTAATGGCTTTACTTGTTGGTGTTAAAATGTGGAAATTATGAGTTTTGAAAAGAAAATATATACATTGTTTGATTATTTATATTGTAATTTATGTTGTTTAAATTTTTAATGAAACATGCAAATCTGGTCATTTATTTACGAAAGTGTATTTGTTTGTTTGCCTTTTAGGCAGCAACGAATCAATGTGATTTTTTGCATCAATAATGGTTTAAAAGTTATAGACTGACCAAGTCCTATTCCCATAGGTATGTATATATATATACAGGGTGGTCCAGGATTAATCTGAAAAATTTTAATGATCGATAGAGCCTGAATAAACAATACAAACAAACCCAAAAACATTTTTTTTAAATGCATACTAACGGAGATATAGTCCTTCTCAAATTTTGTGTAGGTTAAGGTTCCGTCGATAATATAATGAAAATTTCCTACAAAAGGCCCAGTGGCGGAGATTTTGGGGGGATTCCCCTTTTTACCCTCATATTTTTGACGCCACTGGATTTTATTAGAAAATCATCAGAAAATCATTTATTTTTATCCTTTTTCAATGTAAGAGCAAAACTTTTATGTTAATTTTTTACCAGATCAGTGTTTTCGGAGATATTTCAGTTTAAAATTTCAAAAACACTGTGTACACGGAACTTTTGTTATTATTTTAGTAATAAAAATGATTTTTTTTTCTGAACGATTGTATTGGACCAATAAAAATTTACCAATGAAATAATGGAATAATCGCTTTCAATAGGGTGATTATTCGATGTTGCTAAACTGATAACGTGGCATAATTATTACCAAGTTACCGATTTAAAATAAAATATTATGATAAAATTCCGTGTACTCGGTGATTTTGAAATTTTAAAGTCAAATATCTTCGAAACCACTGATCTTATGAAAATTTAACACACAAGTTTTGCTTCTAAATTGAATAAGAAATCTGATGATTTTCCAATAAAATCCAGTGGTGTCGAAATATGGGGGTAAAAAGGGAAAACCCCCCCAAAATCTCCGCCGCTGGGCCTTTTGTAAAAAAATTTGCCTACACAAAATTTAAGCAGAATCGGTTTAATGGTTTAAAAGTTATTTAAAAAAAAACGTTTTTTGCCTTTAAAGGGCTATTAGTGTGTTAGTGAGTATTTTTGAAAAATGTTTTTGGGTTTGTTTTTATTGTTTTTTCAGACTCTATCGATTAATAAAATTTTTCAGATTAATCCTGGACCACCCTGTATATACTAGGGTGTTTAAAAAAAATCGACTTTTTCTTTTTCTTCAAATGGTCAGCAAATTCTTTCAGAGGATGTCAAAACAAAGACCTCGTTAAAATTTGAGCTTTTAATTTGAAGATTTAGAGGTCGCGGATCGCAATTTTCTATTTCCCATTTAAATAACATAAGAATTTTTTTTTTTAACTTTGGAATTTTATAGTAAATTTAACGCTCTATAAAAAATGTCTCCTATAATTTTTCTATAAATTGATTTCTTCCAGAGTTATTCGAGGCCAAAGTTTGATTTCCATCGAATTTTCGCGTTTTTTTAACATTTTTGGTACAATTATCATTATACGGGTGTCCCGAAATTAGGGGGCCAAACTTAAACAGTGCATTATTCGTATAAAAATAACACTTTTTTTGTTTAATAAACATTTTTTTGAAACACCCTAATATATACATATATGGGTCATTCCATATCAAATCACCAAATTTTAAAAATTGTATTTTTGATTCAGTTAAATTTTTGATATGTTTTTGTACGTATCAACCTAACCCTAAATTTTGAGCCCTTAATTTTCAAAAGCCCCGAAGATATGAATTTTTGAAAACCGTAAAAATAAACAATACGGTAATTTTCATAAATTCGTAACTCCTGCTTAAATTATCGTAACCTCATTTGACCGGTGGCTATTTTCTTCGTTTTGAAATGTAGTTTTTGAAAAAAATATATAAACACCAAAAATTTTTTTTACTGTTTTTTCTTAACTTTTAACTTAAATTTTGACTTTTTTTGAAGAGCGACATTTTTGATTAAAAAAAAAATATATGTTATACTAGACGGTAAAACAAATTTTTTAGGCCCATAATGAAAGTGGGATTCAAATATCTTTTTTCAACCTCAACACTGTATTATAAAACTAAAAACACTTTATAATGAATGGCAAAATTTATAAAAAAAAATTGTAGAAGAAATAGTATTGCTCAGAAAACCAAAGAAACTGTATTTACAGAAAAGTTGGATGACCTTTTTTACATTTATGCACTCTTAACAATGAAAATAGCAGAAGATATACATTTTCTTTTGTTACAAAGACAAAAAGGCAGACAGACCGGTATATTTAGCTGGAATTGATAGAAAACTTTCATAAATAGAAAGTGGGAGAATAAAGGTTAAAAAAAGAACGTGCAAGGCATAAAATGCTTTATCAATGCGTAACAACATAAAATAAAGGTAAAAAACTTTTGTTTAGCCGAACCAGGTATTACCGTTTATTGGGAAGGAAAGTTACTTCCGGCATTAATTGGTAAAGAAGAAGTGGACTGTTTGCCTGTTATTGTTACCTGTAATGGTACAGAGCAGCTCCTTGGTGTTCCACGACTTGTATTCGGAAAAGACGATAATATGGCATCTGCTATATATCAAATTCTTGAAGAATATCAACTAAGTGAAAGCGTTAAAGCTCTTTGTTGGGAATACTACGGCATCAAACACTGGCCGAATAAATGGCGCTTGGGTTCTTTTTGATCACAAATTGGAAAAAGATTTTTTATACTTACCTTGTCGGAATCACACCTTCGAACTAATTATAAAATGTGTCTTTGAAGTTTGCATTTGTACCTCATCTGGACCAGATATAGCTCTTTTTAAGTGCTTTCAACAGGCTTGGAGCCAAATTGACATAACACGTTATAAGTATGGGCTTCGGGATGACTATGTAAGCATTAGAATTAGGGAATTAGGAATTACGGTGATCAAGTTTTACAATTTTGTCTTAACCAGCTAGAAATACATCATCCTAGAAAAGACTACAAGGAGTCATTAGAACTTGCGATATTATTTCTAAAGCCAAAAGGAGTATCTTTTCGTATTCCAAAGGCTATTTTATGTTTTAAAATATTCCTCTTCAGAAGCCAGTTTAAACTAACGTTGCATGAAATTGTTCTTAAGAATAATTGTATTTTTATTACTACCCTTTACATTAAACCGTTTTGTTGCCCTATAGATTTGTTTTTTATAAAATCACTCACAAAGTTTAATCAAGTAAAGCCATACAAAAGTTTGGCGGCCATCTTTGGTATTTGACAGCGGAGTCAATTGCTTTGGCGCTTCTCGACGAAAGCGTTAACATTGAACACAAATTTAGCTTGCAAAAGCAATCCCGGGAGATGAGGGCAATAAAAACGATTCCCAGATTTAAAACGTTATACTTGAAGAAAAAGATTGTAGAAAACTTACCATTCTTTCTTCGAAAGCTTATTAAAAGTGGACTGTATTAAAACGTTGTTTAATGTTCTATACATGTATTTTCGCATCACTTGTACATACATATGTCCATAATATACCTTCAACATTAAACACTTATTATTAACTAAATGCACTATACTAACTAGATTTAAACTAACGAATTAACTAATGAAGAGTTAAGATGACAAGAAGTCAGAGCTTAGTGATATCCGAGGATAGAGCACAATTTATTTTAAAGTTTTAAATTAGCTGTCCCTTTTAGAACATGTCACCTCAAGGTCCAGTTTATAACTAATTGCACGCAGCACGCTTCAAGATAGGCGGGAAGAAGTTTTAACAATATAACGCCCTCTGAACTCGCGCTTAAAAGGTTTATATTTAAATTGTGGTTCTGATGGAATACGTTTCCAACAAAGATGTTGTCACTTATATCAACCACCCGCCACAATATCTTGCATCAAAAAATATTACCACCTTTTTTTAAATGATTTTTTTTATTTGAACTACCATCCGTACACTTGGAACTCCCGAGAATATTTTCAAAAGGGATTCTTAATCGTCAAAAAGCTTAAAGTTTTAATTGACACTGCCGAAAGAGGTATCAAACTTATGTAAGAATTTAATAGTATTTTAACAAAAAAGGAAGATCAGAAACAGTTTCTTTTAAAAGTTGTTAACTACGGTTTCGCGAAAGGATCGAACGGTCGATTTGCAAGGGTTCAAGAAATCGATTCAAACTTTTTTACCTTATTTCTACATCTAAATGCAGTACTTTAAAAAAAAAAAATCTCGTCCATTGACAACTTTGTTTTTATTTTTATTCTTTTCTTCACTGTGTTAAAAAAGAAGAAACTTCATTTTTTTTAAATAACTTTTTTATTTCAAAACGTATCGATTTGAAATTTTGACAAAATGTAGATCCTACTAATGACAAATGACGACCTTGCTGCAAGAAGGATGCAGCTCCAAAAATACACATTCTGAAAAAAACGAAAAAAACGTTCTGAGTTTTTGTTTCAATGGATATGCAATTTTTAGTTTTACCTAACAAAAGTTCTTACTTTAAGGTAGTTCGATACGTAAATACATAGTGTTTAGTGTTTACTTTTTTAACAGTCCACTAAATCGAATAATGTCTGAAAAAACGGGCCCTTATTAGGGGGGTTAGGGGGGACAAATAATATTTGAAATATGACCAAAAATACAAAAACTAAATAAGATATTAAATTGTCTTAAAATTATGGGCTTTCATGATATAAATAAAGCACTACGTTTTTTGACCATACATGTTATAATTATAATTACAGTTATAATTATAATTATAACTTTGGACGTAACGGACGCTACATGTTTTTACCTGTACTTTAAAAATCAGGTGTAAATCAGCTAAATTATTGCAATAAAAAAGAGTGTAACGTTTTTTATTTAAAAACTACTTTTAGAAGTTTTTCTTTGTATTATGAGGTCTGTCAATCAACTTTATTTGGCCAGCACGGCCTATTTCATTTATTGTAAATTGCTTGGTATACTTACCTAGAGATTTTCGTCAACATAAAAAGGATTGGGGTATGAAATATTTGCAAAAATTAGTTTAATTTTATAATTATTATATTACTAGTAACCATTTATTACTTTTTCGAGACACAATGGAAACTTTTTATTCATTGGTGGACTTTTGTCTGGAATGGCTGAAATATTTAAGGACTTTACTACCTAGGTTAAACACATTTTAAGCCTAATTTGTATAAATTTTAATTGAAAAAAATACTATACAAGGTGTACCAAAAATTATAAAATGGGCAGTGGCATTTTTGAAATGTTTCAAGCTGTATCTTTAAAATAAAAAAAAATTGAAAATTGAAAGATCAAAAATCATTGTACACAAAGAACCTATAGCAAAATAAAGCGACATAGAAAAATCTTTTTGCTGCGATAAGCATTCTGCCCTGCAGTAAAAATAAAATGCAACGGGGAGTAAAATAACGAATTCCCTTACTTCACATACATTCACATAGAAAACACAAAGCAAAATCGTATCCGCAACATCCAGTTCCTTTGATTCCGGAGTGGCGTGTTATTCACTTGTTTCGCTTCCACACGTAGTAGACTATGGTCTACTATGACCTGCGCTTATTCTCTTGGCGAACTGAGCTGATTTAGGATAAGCGGGTGGGTTGCAAACGGCGATCTTTCGGTAGGAATTTAGTTGGTTTTAGGAACCCCACCCGCATTTGTCAAAACTGGCGAATGCGCCGGGTTAGTCGTCCAGGTGCATCCGCCATTTTTAAAAGTATTGAATAATAACACGTCAACAAACAAAAAATAAACTTTTTTACTCCTATTGCATAATATTAACATTATTTGGGTTTTTTTCGTAAATAATGGTAACGAATATAACCGCCCCGCCTAACAACGTGAATTTAACTTATTATTCACGTTGTTAAGCATCAGTAATGGCTGATTTCAATATTCACTGTTATTTGAACGAATCGGGTTTTAAATTGGAAAAAAGTAAGGTTAACAGATGTCAGATTTGTTCATATATACGAGGGGCAACTATAATTATCTTTAAAATCGGGTAAAAGTGAGGTTATGTTGTTATCAATGAAAATTACTTAATTGGAGTAGAAAAAGCGTAGTATTACACACGAAATAATGCGCGTTATTTACTCGGATAAATTACGTTTCTCGCATAACGGCTCCAGACGCAAACCTCTCGTATAATAATATACTATTGTATCCCGAAATTTAAAAATTAATTACCGTGTTAAATACTTCGCTAAATCCGAAAATGCCGTCAAAAGTTATAAAAGTAGAACGTATCCATATTTAAGATACTCCACCTTGGGGTATATAACCTATGGCTTAGAGCATACTTTACGTGGATTTTCAACGCCTAATTTTTTATGTTTATTAAGAAAGAAAATGTTTTTACTTAAATATTTTTATTAAAAAATACCTAGGTACCTACTTATAAAAAACAACGATCAACAATAAACATACTTAAATATACTTAAAAGGGAGCGACTGAGGTAGGGGTTAATAAAAGGGGTAAAATATAAGGAGTAAGATGGAGAGCAAGGATGAAATTTTATACATTTGTAGCAGGATGAGCGAGCTTATATTCTATCTTTGCAGGACTTTTCTGGACAGCCTCATTAGTCCAGAGACTGGATCCCTGCCGAAATATTTTACTTGCAATTCCTGGCCCACATCCAGGCCCAGCGCAGTGGGATGGGCCACCTGAAATGAAACGTAAATCAACAAGACGCACAGTGCTACAAAATCAAACATTTTTTTTGTATGATTTTGTAATTTATATTAAGAAAACCCGAAATATTTAATTTCATATTTTGAATTAAATGCTGGTGTTACGAATATTGACAGCAAGAAGAGTAATCAGTATTTTCTTGCATTCTAAAAATATGCCATGATTTATTTAAAAAATGTCCTGTTTTAGAGGCAAATATTTTAAAATATTACTTATGAATCGATTTGTCACATTTTATCGTGGTAAATTACTTGCTGAACAATGAATTGTTTTATGATTAAGCAAACGTTACTCATGAACATTTTTTTATGAGTAATATTTTTCAAATATTTTTTTCTAAAACAGTGCATGAAAATTTCAAAAAAGCAAGTGGACTGTGCATTTTTTTAAAATTGTTTAAGGATTAATTTGATTTGTTTTAATAAAAAATTGCGTATTTAAAATACCGCATTATTTTTTAAAGAAAATACGTTCAAAAACTTTTTGTATTCAAAGTTTATTGAATTTATCGTGTTTAAACAAAGGCAGTAATAAAAAAATTCACTATGTTTAAAACTCAAATACCTATAAGAACAAAAAATATATGAAATACATTTCCGACCCATCGATACACTTCATTTAATTTATGACTTCGAATGATTTAACTTTTTCGTCATATTTGAATCGTAATATATTCAATTTCACGAATAGACAATTTTCAAAGAGGAATTCCAGACATCTTTGAATTTATAATTTTTTCTAGTTTTGTAAACAATAAACAATACATTATTTATTTACAATCATTCGGTTAATTTGAAGGAATGATACAAAAATATTGAGTATGGGAAAATAAAAATTATCGACCGTAAATCTAAATAAATCTGATTCAGACGAAAAACACGTATTAATTCGAAAAATTTATTTTTTTGTTCGTTGTAACTTACGGGCAAAGTAGTGCTGTCAAGCTTATTTTTCGGACGCATATTACGCTTAAAAAATATTATTATAATTAAAAAAACTGCCTCTGTCGGCACGAGTTAGTGAATATTAAAATAAAAATTGGAAAAAATTTTTGAATTATTAAGGGGGCGACACCATTAAAATTCCCCACCCTAATATGCTTAAAAAAAATATAAAATACAATATGGGAAATAGCTGACATTAACCAACATTTTTAATTTGTGAGGTGAAGGAGGAAGTGAGCCGGAACCGGTTTACAGATAATAAAGCTTTAATCATTTTAGAAAAAGAAATGACTGAAATTTGATATATTAAAGACAGTATTTTTATATAAATATTATCATTCCAATTCTAAAACTTAAAAACTTCTCTATCTATTTCATATTTTGGAGCACTGTGTAATGTTAGAGTTTTATTTATTAGAATTTAAAATGTTTCCTTGCCAATTTGATTTAAAGTAATGAAAATTAAAAATACAGCAGCCTCGGCTGAAATAAATTTAGTAAATTTATTCAATTGAATATTCAAAATGCATATTTAAGTTGCCTATACGATTTTTTATTATTCTCTCTGATTGTAAAAGAACTACTGTTTTAATAATTTAAAACAAATTAAAACGTGCTCAAAATATTAGATCATGTTATTATTTAATAAAAACATTTTTGACTTTGCATCAAAAAGTAAAGACTTAAATTTATTTAAAAAATTGTTTAAAAATAAACGCCAAACATAATTTCGTATATAAAAAAATGCAAAGCCCCAAAAAAATGAACGTATCAAACAACTAAATATGTATGCAATTGGCCGTGTAGCTTTAATGTCAAGCAATAAAATTATGGCGCTATTTTTATATTGTTATAAATTTTTCTATGATTCGATACTTAATTGGGGGTTATCACTTAGTCAACAAGAAACCCACGGAAATTAGCAATTTATAAATAAAATTAATACTTTAAAACTAGAATTAACAAAGAAATGAAGGAACCACATAATTTGATAATTCTGATGAGAGTATTTATAGTATTTATCTGTGGAGAAATACAGAGTTTCAAAACAAGGACGCGCATTGATGATCCATAAATGAGTTTATCAGAAGCGTTTGAACATCTCAAAAGGAAATATTTTGCCCATAAAATCGTGTGTTTCGTACATAATCTGCCCTATACGCTAAAGAAGTATCGGGCGCGCGCCATCTGGTGGAATTCAAAAGCATTGCGTGAATTTAAGAATTGTCAACAATACATTAAAGCACAGATTATACATCATTTTTAAATAAATAGGTAGTTTTTTCACAAAAGAGAGGAAGGCAGAAGTCTTACTCGGCAAATTTTGTTCAATTGTACAGCTAAATCGCGCACGTTATTTGTGTTTTACGTTGCAAGGAAAAACTAAAAAACTGGTTTAGTACTCGATTTCGATTGATTATTCTTTATATCATTGATTAAGAAACTCAATGCTTAAATGCTTACCTATATAGTTACGTTAGTGTGTGTATTTTATCTAAGGGATCATGGTGAATTATTGTGTTTTTAATTGTAAATAAAATTCAAGAACTAAATCATTGCATTTTAATGTTTTGCAAAAGAATCCAATAAGGTAAGTACATTTGTTGGTGCAGAATTAACTAATGATAACTTTACCTAATATAATTTATATTTAAGTTTGGACATTTTTATGAAATTAGTAAAAAATAATTTTTGCACAAAAATATATGAGGCGCCGTTTGTGCCATAATTAAACTCTTCAATATATAAATAATTTTGAATATAAATTTATTTTTTACCAAATATATATTTATTTTTTACTTTATATGTATTTGTATTTCATATTTTAATATTTGTTTTTATATATATATATTTATTTTTTTAAATATATATTTAAATGCACAAATATATATTTGTACTTGCTTTTAATATATTTATGAAATTCGACTTCACCATTTGATCGCTAGAGGCGCTGCTCAACTTATTAAATGTGGCAACGCTGTAGCAAGTGCTGCACCCAATTAGCCAATATGAGCTTTTGTTTACGAATTGAAATAACGGTTTGTTCTGCAAGGTCTCTGCGTGGTTAAAAAAATTTACCCCGTGTTTTAAAATTATTAATAAAACGGAATATTGCGAGTATCTACGTGTCTCCCTAAATAAAACCATACAACAGCGGTTTAAAAGGCGCTTTAAATCCAAGATACCTACACCCAAAGAACATACACTTAAATTAAATCTTTGTATCATAAAATAATGAGAACACAGAGAAAACAATGTTTACCGTTATTTTAAATTAGTAAACAAAACCTCCCATTGGCTAATTCGGTGAGGCCCTAGCTACAGCGTTGACACATTTGATCAGTTAAGCAGCGCCTCCAGCGATCAACGGGTGAAGTCGAATTTTATAAATATATTAAAACCAAATACAAATATATATTTGCACATTTAAATATAAATTTATTAATTTATATATATATATATATTTATAAAAATAAATATATATATAGAAAACATGTATAAATATATGAAATAAATATATATATATTGTAAAAAATACATAAATATGCAAAATTAAATATATATATAGGAGAGATTAATTATGGCACAAACGGCGCCTCATAAAAATAACCTTAAAATAAACCAATTTTATGTTTGAGTTCTCTAAAAAACGCCGACAACTGCATTTTAAACAACAAAATATACCTACGAATTCATGGCAACATAATATAATGGTATTTTACCGTTAAGTGGAGACTTTCTTAAACAACGCTTTTAATAATGCTAAATTCTGTTTGGACGACTTATTTTTTTGACGATTATTACTGAATTGAAATGTTTACACTTTTCACTTTAATCACTATAGTATACTAAAATGTGTATTTATTGTATCTAATAGGTACAATTTATACTTACAGAGACTGTGGGCAATTTATTTCTTCATTCAGATTAACACTGTTAATTGGAAAACCGGTAAAAACTCAACCCAGGATTTCCTCTCAAAATACACCCAACAACACAACAAATCGAGCCACGGTTTTTTTTTTCGACATTTTTTAACATTTTCCTGCTTTATTCTCAAAAAAACTGTAACATAAGCGTTTAACAGCTGATTATTAAAAGTGGTAATTTTGTTATGATGATAACAGCCGAGTGGTGGCGCTACTAGCGATATTTCTTTAGCGTATATTATCAAAATGTAAAATTGATTTATGGAACAAACAAGAAAATTGTTAGCGAGTGTTATGTTAATCTCCCAATGAAAGTTTTCACTTAAATGTGTACTCGGAATGTTCTGGAGATTTGGCCATAGAAAAATATATTTCGGATATAACGAACTGGAAAATTATATCATACAGACAATGAATAAATATTGATGGTAAGAAGAACTAAAACCATTTTTATTTGTTAATTGTGACGCGTTTCGAGAAAAGGAACCAACAATTTTTGGATTCTTTTTAGAGTAATATTTTGAAAGGCGATAAATAAATCAACCAAAGTAATCAAACATATATTTTATATCGCGGGCACAACAAGCCAACAATAGCTTGTTATAGTCAATAATGTTTAAAGTAATAACAAGTACTTAAATGTTATTACAACGAATAAACGAATGTTGTCACTAACAGATTGACAAGTAAAATAGGTATAAACTTAAACATCTAATCGTACCGATTTTCAGTTTGCACCAAACCTTCGATGTTAATGTTTTTTAATAGGAACTTGGGTCCAAAAAAAGCATGGAAAATAGATGTAGGTTTATTGAAAATTTAGATATTTTAGAACCTTCTTTGTATTGGCATCAAAAAAAGTCACAAAAACTGTGATTTAGAAATTGATGCCAAAAAAATGGTTTTATAGTGCTCAAATTGTGAGAATTGGTCTACGAGCCCTAACAACTATATGTTGGAACAAACAACTATTATTATTTATATTATTTATTCAATTTAGTGCAGTAATATATCAGCAACTAGTTTTGATTTTAATGTTTTAAAATTGTAGAATTGTAGAATAACAGTTGTAGGAGAAAATTCTCATTATTTTATAATTGAAATTTATTTAAGTGGTTCATGTTCAATAACTGCTGACAACTTAATGTTGGAACAAAACGTTTTAAAGTAAAGAAAACAGATATTAATAAAGCGTAACGTCGCCTTTTGCCCGAATAACTGCCTGAACTCTATCAGGCATCGTATTCACAAGGCTTGCACAGAGTTCAGATGTAAAATTATCCCAAATTTCTTGAAATTTGGTACGCATTTGTGGTATGGTTTATTGTGGATTATTTATCAGATGTTGCTTCATCTTGTGCCACAGTGTATCTATCGGATTAAGATCCGGGGTGCTGGAAGGATGTGACAAAACCTTAATATTATTTTCCCCAAACCATATTTTTGAAGATTTTGCAGTATGTCATGAGGCACCGTCTTGCTGAAATATAAAACCCATATTGGGATATAAGTTTGCAGCACTTAAAACGAGCTGGTTAGAATTTCCTGATGTTTAGCTGCGTTTAAAGTCCCTGCAATCCTTTCGCCGACATACATCCCCACACCATAATGCCTTGAGGAAACTTGAATGTTATTTTGAGACAATCCTTGTCTCGAATGATGCGTTTTCGGTAGTCTCCCACACAAACATCAAATTTACTTTCGTCACTCTAAATGACTTTACTTCCAGTCATTTTTAGACCACGGCATCTTAGATTTAGCCCAAATGTAACTATTTTTTTTAACTTCTATCAATAATGGTTTTTCTTTAGCCTGTAAATATTAACTATACTTTATAAAAGCTGAGACCACCTTGGTGGATATATTTACGGCAGCATGCTCGGGAAACGTTCATTCCAGATTCTCTATTTCACCTTGCAGTCACTTTCCGCAGCGTGTTTCTTCCTCCTGACTTGCATATTTAAATCAAATGCCTTGCGCTTCTTTGAGAAACAATTTTGGGACGACCTGAACTTTTACCACGAATATTAATATTTCCTGTTTCACCATATTTTTTAATGATATTAAACACAGTAGTGCTATCGCAAATTCAGTAGAAATTTCACGCATTGTTTTGCCTTTATGGTAGGTACTGATTAATAATAATTTCGCGTACTTTTCAATCGGTAGACTTCCCGCGTGTTATTATTGCTATTTAATACGCTAAAAAAGTATCGGGTTTTCGCAACGCGCGCGCCATCTGGTGGACGAATGCATTGCGTGATTTTAAGAATTACCAACAATACATTTGAAGCACAGATTATACATCATTTATCATCATCAATTTGTATTTACAGAGACAGTATGCAATTTATTTCTTCATTCAGATTAACACTGTTTATTGGAAAACCGGTAAAAACTCAACCCAGGATTTCCTCTCGAAATACACCCAACAACACAACAAATCGTGCCACGGTTTTTTTTTTTCGATATTTTTTAACATTTTCCGGCTTTATTCTTAAAAACACTCGTTTGTAACCTAAGTGTTTGACAGCTGATTATTAAAAGTTATTCTTTTGTTACGATGATAACAACCGAATGGTGGCGCTACTAGCAATACTTCTTTAGCATATTGAGGAAAAATTGTAATTGACAAAAGGCTTTGTTATCTATGATTGACAGTATTTAAATTGTTGAATTGATACAAGCTTTGTAGTCATAGCAACCATATTTTGTTTTAAAGCAATTGAGATAAAAGTGAAGAAACTATAAAGAAAATAGAATGTGTTCCAACAATTAGTTGCCAGCGATTTTTGAACATGAAACGGTTAAATAAATTGTAATAAAAAAAATATTAAGAATTTTACCGCACAAATGTTATGAAATGACATATAAAATGTTACCAATGCTAATTTTTCAAATAAAAAAATAGTAAAGTAGGTTTTATTTGCAAAATAAATACTTGTTCCAACATAGTATAGTTGTTAGGGCTCGTATTACCTCGTTTCCGTGCTTTTGCTTCAAGCCTGCTACACAAAACAGGCACCGACAGACAACCTGTTTCGGTCTTACTAGACCTCTTCAGTGCCGGATAGGCATATTCAAATCTTTTAGTACATTTACCTCCTAACTAGTCAAAAATTATGATTCTTTCATTTCTCTTCACACCACCCTTTTGAGCTTTCGTTGACTGAACTAAATTCTATTTCAATGGAATATTTTATTTTACCCCGTTCACAAAGAACAAAAAATATAAAATAATGTAATGGTTCAGTACTTTAATACGTTTTAAAATGTAAAAAGCTTTGCAAAAGAGGTAAAAAGGGATATTTAGGTGGCCTAAAGGTCTGGTGTCCAGATTGTATCGAACACATCGCTCTTATACATTTTTACTAAAACGAAATTTATTGTAAAGTTCTGTTTAAATAATTGTTACAAGTGTTTGTGTATTCTCCCAGGTTAGTTCTTAATTTTAGTAGCCCAATTATGTAGTAAAGTCCACTAAACGTAGAACAATTTAGATTTAAATAAACTGATCATTAGTTATTTTGCACTACTACGTTTAGTGAATTTTACCCGATATTAACACCTTTGGTTTTAGCTATTTTTATCAAATATTTTCGCCTTTTAATTTTACAGCTAAATGTAAAAATGTATATTCCTTTCTTTTATTGTCTTAGGCTTAAAATAGTTGTACACTGTCCCTGTAACTCAAATGTTTAGACCTTCCCCAACACGATTATGCATTTTTTTGCGGTAATTTTAAAACAAATATTAGTGTAATACAGGACGTTTCGTTTCTTAAAAGGGAGTATTGGCCGTTAATTTTAAACTTTGAATGCTCCTTTTTCTTTAGTACGTAGTTTGAAGTAGATACTATAATGCTCCCCTCTGTGAGGGATAACTGGTCACTTAGGTTCTCTAGGTGGCATCGCAACTTTTATCCCGAACCTTCATCTTTACGCGAGTTGCTTCCAGTGTGGACCTCGTTCTCCACAGGGCAACGTTAACGTTGACAGACTAACTGCCCTGTTAACCTAACAATGTTTTTGAACCTGTAGGGGGTAGATAGCGTAACGAGGGTCGTGTCATTCCATGGATTTGCATAAACTTTTAAAGAAACAATGCCTAATCGTGTAATCCTTTGCTACTTCATAGCCGAACAGGGTTTTTTCTCAAGCTCTTGTTCCCTGGTCGTATCTCCCTAAGAGCCACTCCTTGCTTTTTTTTTAACTGTTTGTAAAGCAAATTAAATTGGGGTAACTAAACACTGTATTTTATTTTTTTGTATACTTAATTCTCCCAAGTATGATTCTTAAAGCAATGTATTTAATAAAACAAGTAAGTAAACACAACGTAGAGGTCCAAATTTTGGTAAGACGATCACGAGCCAAAGTCACAAAATAGTTCTTTTATTAATTTTTCATAAAACTTGTTTTAACGAACCTGGTGTAAGGAGAAATCTTTACAATACCTTTCTTTGGTCGAGTTGCGAGTTGTGCAGCAGGGCGGGCGGCATGCCAGGATACAGCGTCACCATAACGCCGATATCGCGCAACTCAACGATTTTGGCTGGGTAAATCCCGCCGAACTCCAGCTCAGGAGCTCGTTCGGCGTTCAGCAATTTCGTGATGATCTCCTCGCCTTCGTCCATCGCGTTCTGGCTGGGCGCGAATATTTGAAAGGTGGTGTCGTCAATTTGCGAGACTTGCACTCCCGTTTCGGCGAAGAGTTTTTTTAGGTTTATGCCGCCGATTCCCAAAAGTCGAGCCCTTTTGTGGGCTTCCACTTCCAGCTTTTTGCACACCGGCCAGTTTTCCTTTTTGTCGGACCTGCGAACACATATTTAGAGAAACTTTGTGAAAAAGATTTTATTTTAAAAAAAGTTTCATAAAATTAATATTGAATAACACTGTAGGTAAATTTCAAACTCTTGAAATATCACACCTAAACGCTCGGACACGTAAACATAATTTTTGGTCGTAGATTCCAAGTCCGTGCTCGATTGAGCTGAATCAGGTCTAAAAAAGTTTTTCCTATTGGCAATCCGATCTGGGGACACACTGTATACTGGTATAATATAATTTTTAAAATTATTATATTTCACCTCTTGTGCCACCGTTCCCTTGGTTTTAATTTCGTTTAATATAATATCCTCAATTATGCTCAATAAAAAAATTAGCAAAAAACATTTTGTATTTCCTACATTATCTAATAAAAACCCTTAGGAACACGTGTTCCTTTTGATCAATTAACTTCACATGTTGCAATTTTTTTTTTAACTAATGTGTGGGTCCAGCCAAATTATTTTTTTTTGATTAAATTTATATAGGGTGTTTCCAATATCTTTGAATTTTGACCTGATACAGCTAAATGAATTTGTAATCTACAACCAAAAATTAAGTTTACGTGTCCGAGCGTTTAGCTGTGGTATTTTTACTTTCCTACAGTGAAATAAAAAACTGGTCGATAAAATAAAATTTGTTTGGGTGCGCTGATTCCAAAAATGACCATCATTTTGTAAAATTAGCTTTTGTTTTCGAGTTATTGTAAAATATATTTTTTTCGATATGCAAATATTCAAATTCTAATTAAATACTTTAACCATGTATCACTGGTCAGGTAGCTGTGAGTCCCAATTTAACTAAAAATATAAATTATTAAATTAAATAATTATTAACTTACAAAGACGTGTAGCTTTATATATCTACTTTAAGCCAATCAAATAAAAATTGCCAAAATGGCACTCAAAACAACCGCGAGTGTCAAAATTTATATTTAAGATAAAAATAAATTAAAAAAGTTTTTCTGAAATATCTCGAAAAGGAACCAATCGAATTTAAAAACAAACACACCAAAATGTAGGGATTTAAAAGGCCTTCAAAATAAGGTATTACTCGACCCCCCTTTTAAAAATGTAGGGGTAATCATCACCCCCGCTTACGGCTTAAAAAATACATTGTCCCTCTAAAATTAAAAATAGATGTGGGCAAGCATTTTTTATTTTTTTACGTTTACACCAAAGAAAACCAGAGTGGAAAGTTCCCTTGGTCCACCCTGTTTATATAAGTATGTAACTTAAACTCATTTTAATTAGGTACTTTTAAATAGGTACATGATTTTTATCACACTTTTCAAGTTGAACTTGAACATTGACAAATCAACTTGGAGAAACCGTATTACCAAAAATGAACTTGACTTAAGCATAAAAAAACTAAGGGTTAAAGCAAAATACGTGCATTTTCGTAATGATTACCTTCCAAAGTTAACAACATTTGTTGATAGTTACTACCAATGGGTGTTTAACAAATAAGTAATACTTTTGTTCGCAGGATTTTTTTAGGAATTCCTACGACTCAAGTTGTACAAGAGAAAATTACCGTAAAGAAAAATTTGTACACGCTCGGTTGTTTTGAGTGCAATTTTATTCGATTGCATTGAAATTTATAAACAATAAAGAAGATAAATAAATAAAGCTACAAAATTTAATATATTTTTTTAAATCGGACAAAAATTGTTCGCGAGCACTTTGAAAATTGTCGAATTTTTACTAAAAAAGTAATTTTATTTCGTTAAAGAGTTTTTTTAAGGAACTAACTTAATGTGCAAAAAAAATGTTCACTTAAATTAGGACTCATAGCTTTATGATCAATGTATTTCATTTAAAAAATACATATAGGAATTTGAACGTTTGCATATCGAAAAAAACGTATTTTTACAATATCTCGAAAACAAAGGTTACTTTTGAAATCAGCGAACCCTAAAAGAAATGTTGGCCACCCTGTGGCAAAATAGCTGATGACCAGTGTAATAAAATATTGATTTCACAAGTTCAATTAAATTTTTTTTATAACATTTACAAAAATTATAAAAAAACGTAATAAAACCTAGAAAATAATTTAAAAAAAAAACAGTAGAAAATTGGTTAAAAATTTATAAAATCATTATCATTTGTTTTATAATAAACATATTGCAAATCACTGAGAAATAAATAAAAATTAGGTAGATAAAATTGCAACAGAAATTTTGTAAAAAATTACAAAAACCTTTCTCAAATATGCAATAGGTATTTTAAAAACGAAATAAACCTAATATTTTACCAAGCCAATATTCTTCTCTAAATTCGAACTTAAACCCTTTTTAGCTAATTATTTCCATACAACAAAATCGCACGGCAAAAAAACAGTCTACTCAGCTAATTTTTTACTACCTGGGTTTGCTTAAACAATCGCTCATTATTCCCAGGATGGTCTTTTTTGCATCACTGGCTTTTTCTATCGCTTCCATTACGATTTTCAGCGGCAAACCGGGTATCTTTATGTCCGCCTGCAGAGCGGTGAATCCTTTTTTTGTTCCGGCCACCTTAAAGTCCATATCGCCCATGTAGTCTTCGATGCCCTGAGTAAAAAAATAAATAAAAAGGATTTAAGTTAAATTGGTCTAGGAGTTTTAATAAATTCTACAATTTGGACAAAAAATTTGTTAAAATGCTTTGTAAAACTATTTGAAATTAAATGTGGAAAATTTATTATTAAGAAAATAATAATAATAATAATAATAATAATAATAATAAATTGTTTATTTATTGTCAATATTAACAGATTTACAAGAATACATAAAATAACTTATTTACTAGTATAATTGACAATAAAAAGGACTAAAAGGCAGTAAAACTGATATTAATTTAGCCCTATTTCGTATATTTTGATTTTTTTAAGATATAGGTAACAAATTTTTACAAAATTCGTTCTTTTTCCAATTCATTATGATTTTTGCATTTATTTTGATAAATAGTTTTTATAGATTAAAAAAAAATAGTCAAAAGCCTTTTTATCTGCAAAAATAAAAATTGCCGTAAAATTTTAAAAATTAAGTTTTATCATTTTAGCTTTGCATCATTTTAGCTTTGCATCATTTTAGCTTGTCGAAATTTAGCTTGTGAGTATTGCTTGTTATTATTTAAGTTTGTCCTTATTTTTGCTTGTCGCCATTTTATCTTGTTATCATTTTATCAGCATTTAAGCTTGTTATTACTTAACTCATCGTAATTTAAAATGTCGGCATTTAAGCTTGTAATAATATAATAATAATATTTATTTATATAAAATATCTACAAAGTATTTAAATACAAAGAAATATAACATAAAAAACGTCAAAGGAAAAAAATAAGAAACTTGAACAATCGTCTAATTATCATCATGTAGGTAATCACTTACAGTGTATATCTCCAGGTCTACCAACAATTTGAAAATTTCTTTTTTGAATTAATTTTTATTATTTATATTTTTTAAATATATCGGGAGTTTATTATAGCTAACGGGTCATTCCACGTTACTCGGGGATTTTTGTCCCGCCCGTCACAATTAAAAATTGTGAGTAAAAACTACACGTTATAAAATTTATTTAAAAATATTGTTTTATTATGCTTTTAATAAGTTATAAGCACAATAAAAATAATATTATAAAATATTAATTTTATAACTTGTGGTTTTTACTCACAATTTTTAATTGTGACGGGCGGGACAAAAATTACCGAGTAACGTGGAATGCCCCTAATACTAGTAATTTAATACATTTATAAAACACACTATTTTCAGTTAATGTTTTGTGTGGTAAGGGCAGTTATAGTCCATAGTCCGTATACAGTAATTATGACTTGGTTTGTATTCTAAAAATAAATGTTTGTTGTTCCACCAAAACAAAAGACACTCATATATATATATATATATATATATATATATATGTGGGGCACTGGCATTGACAAAGTTATGTTCCCGTAATAGTGCCTTGCATGATTGTTTAACATTTTTTTGTATAAAATGCGAATCACCCGCTTCTGCATGACAACAACAAAATCAGTTCAAGGCCAGATGTATATGAACCTCAAAATTATTTCAAATCTCATCATTGATACAAAATTTGTATGATATATTAGGTGCGTTCTTCTCGCCTGAGATCTCAGCTCACTTCAGTTAATGTGATATGAGATGCACTGATGTGAGTAAGCATTAAAAAGAACGACACACTCAATTGAAACGCCCAATCTGAATAAGAGGCAACATAACCTATCTCTGATATCATTATGTTCGGTGTTATATCTTTATTGGTTTAAATTTCGTGGTTTTCTATGTTTAAATTTGCGTTGAATTTTGGATAATACAAAAATAATAATAAAAGTTTTATTTGATAAAGACGATGAAGGTGACAAACAAAAACAACAATTTTTTGATAAGAATATTAATTTTATGATATAAAATAAAAATTATAAAATAAAAATTTCACTTTTACTTTCTTTGTTCATTTATATTTTAAAAAGTGTTTTTCTCGTTCTGAAAAGCAATTTTATTTGAATTCAATTTATTATATCAAGTTTATAGCTAATTTACAAAATTTAATTATTTTTATGAAAATTTAAGTTTTATTGCAAATAATCACCTAAATAAGATTAGGTTATGTTATTTAAAAACTTAAAAAATCAATAATTTCTTTATCCCCTCCACTTTATTTCCGACTTAATTCAAACTGATTTCCCCGCACAGCATGTGCAGTATCGGTGAGAGGGGAGGAAAAATCTCAGCTCACTTCATGGTGAGTGAAGCAAAAAGAACGCGCACATTTGCAAATTTTACCAATGTGAGCTGAGATTAACTGAGATCTCAGGCGAAAAGAACGGACCTATTGTTCTCAATGATGATGGTTTATGTATTTTGAAAAAACTCTTACAATGTGATGTGGATATAAATATTTTGTATTTGACGTATATTGTACTGTGTGATCATTCAGTTTTACATTTCTGGGTGTTTTAAAAAGACAGTTTTTGGATTTAAAAAGAATAAAATTGGTTTTATCCGAATTTGGGATAAGATTGTTTTCAGAGAACCATTTTTGAACCACTGAATAAAATAATCTATCGCTTTTTGTTAGCAACTCATTATTTTAGCTTGTCATCATTTTAGCTGATTGTTACTTAAGCTTGTCGTAATTTAACTTGGCGTTACTATAGCTTATCGTTATTTAAGTTTTTTATTAATTTGGCTTGACATTTTAACTTGGCCTCATTTTAGCTTGTTGTCATTTTTGCTTGTTATCAATTTAGCTTGTCGTCATTTCAGATTATTATTACTATAGCATGTCGCTGAACGTCTGTCCTTTCTGTCTATTTTTAAACTAATTTATAATTTTTGGTCTTGATTATGCTTCTTATTATTTGGTAGTTTTTTTCCAAGGCTCCTCTGTACTCTGTGCTTGGCCGCAGTACGTACATAGCGGTGTCTGATCTTCTTCGCTAGTGAAGGTATTTGCGAAAACATCCGTTACTCTAGCTAAGTCTGTGTTAGGAAGTTTTCAGTTTCTCCATATGGTCTGTCTACCCAAACATGGATTTGTCCCATCTTCCCATTTTTTCTGCCATTTTTCTATGTTTTCCCTGGCAACGTTTTTGTCTATTCCATCATACCTCTCTTTAATTTGTAGCTCTGTGGGTGAAAATCCAGCAATAACACCAACATTTAGCAAATATTGTACGATAGGCAGTGACGCTTGTCAATATTGCTTGTCGTCATTTAAGTTTGTCATTATTTTAGCTTCTCAACATTTTAGCTCGTCGTCATTCTTGCTTGTCATCATTTTAACGTCGTCATTTAAGCTTGTTGTTACTTTAGCTTGTCTTTATTTATATTGCCGTAATTTCAGCTTGGCGTTACTTTAGCTCTAAAGGAATTTAGTTGGTTTTGGAAATCCTACCTGGATTTATAAAAAATGGTGAATGCACCGGGTTAGTAATCCCGATGCATTTTTGTATATAATAACACTTATGGGCAATTTTCTATAGTTATTTTACCTTTAACCATTTTATATTATCAACATTTTAGCTTGTCATTACTTTATGGGCGTTAAATCTTGTCATCATTTTAGCTTGTCGTTGCTTTAGCTTGTCATAGTTTGAATTGTTGGCATTTCAGCTTAGTGTAACTTTAGTTTGTCATCATTCCTTCACGGTGTGCCTGAACGAAGTTTAAGTCACATAAAAATGCCGCCAAAAACTGATTGCAGTTTCTTGTTCGAAACCCTTTGGTGATTTAAAAATGATATTTACCAAAATCCTAGCTGCTCCTCTTTTCGAAATTTTTTGAAAATTCTTAATTCTTTTTTTTAATTTTTGTTTATCTTACCTTTGACAGAGTACATATTTGTAAACCGATTTTTATAAAATTAGAGTTAATTATTGAGGAGACTTAAAGAATACTTTTTAATACTGTTCACATCATTTGATATATACATGGTGAGCCAAAAATCGCTTAAAGCAAAAGCGTAAATTCATGATTTTGGCATAACACGCAAAAAATATTTATCCCCATTTTTTTTTAGATATTTCTACGTTTATCAGGTTACAAAATGGCATTCTTATTAACCTTTTATAAAAAAAATAGATTTTTAATAAAATTAAATAAAATAACGATATAGAGAATATTTAAAATGTTGTTTAATTTAGTCTTTTTACTAAAAAGTTTTTAGTAGTTTTCAATTTTAAACGAAAAACTGGTTAAAGTTTCTTGATCGGCTCTCTTTGGTGATTTAAAAACGATATTTACCAAAATTCCAACTGATTTTTTTTAAATTTGTTAAAAAATCATATTTTTTTAAATTATTTGTTTATCGCAAAGCCTACCTTTGCCAGAGTACACATTTGTACACCGATTTTTATTGATTGCAGTTTCTTGTTCGGGACCCTTTGGTAACTTTAAAATGATATTTACCAAAATCCTAGCTGCTCCTCTTTTCAAAATTTTTTGAAAAAATTCTTAATTCTTTTTTTAAATTTTTGTTTATCTTACCTTTGACATAGTACACATTTGTAAACCGATTTTTATAATATTGGAGTATATTGTTAACGAGACTTGGAGAATACTGTTTTCATACTGAGCACATCATTAGATTTATACAGGGTTAGCCAAAAACACTTTTTTATATAGTAAAAAGCATAATGCACAAAAAAGATTTATCTCCAAAAAATGTTATTTTATTTAATTTTATTAAAAATCAATTTTTCTTATAAAGTCTTAAAAAACATGGGTGGGTATATCTTTTTAGCGTGTTACGCAAAAATCATGAATTTACGCTTACGCTAAATGTGTACTCTGTCAAAGGTAGACTTTTGAAATAAACAAAAATTAAAAAAAAAAATATGAATTTTCAAAAAATTTCGAAAAGAGGAGCAGCTAGGATTTTGGTAAATATCATTTTAAAGTTACCAAAGGGTCTCAAACAAGAAACTGCAATCAGTTATTGGCGGCATTTTTATGTGACTTAAATTTCGTTCAGGCACACCGTGCCTTGCCGTCATTTAAGTTTGTCATCAAAAACTTAAAAAGTATAGTAAAAAATTTAATTTTGTCTCTGTAGTGGCATTAGTATGCCATTTTCGGAACACCCTGTATAACAAAATACTGGTGATTTCAAAAAGAAAAAAACGTCAAAAATTAAAAAACTTAAATCTAAGAAAATAGTAAAAATACCAGGAAAAAATACCAAACAATTATGAAAACCAAATACAAATACCAAAAAATTCAATAAAAACGTAGTAATATGTAATAAACCATACAAAAAAATACAAACAGAAATTAATTAAAACGTTAACAAAAACCATAGTTTACGTAAAATATAAAAATTTTAACTTGAAGCTATTAAAAATCTGTAAAATAATATATTTTGTATAAATATTTATTAAACTTTGGACTCTAATCTTACCAACAGATCCGTAAGAACCCTATAATCTGTAACATTCTTCTTATCCTCGTCATACTTCGTAACTAAACCGATAGCTACGCCAGCTGCAGCTGCATTGACCGGCACACCGGCGTCCATCAGGGCCAAGCTGCCACCGCACACGCTAGCCATCGAACTGGAACCTAAACGGGAAAACTAAATACAAAAAAAACATGACGGTAAACCGTGATTTAATGCTGTAGAAATCCTTCTTTATATAAAAGAGATAAGTGTTCTGTTCCGGTTCAGTTTATGTAAGGTAACATGCAGTTTCAAATTGCCAATTTGTATTTTACTTGACGTTGCATTTTAGAAATGGACATGATTAATTTTATAGCAAAGTAAGACGTTTTACGATATACATTAGTTTTACTTCTTTGAACAATATAATATTTTTAAGTTAATTAAATACTATTTTTTTCTTTGACTTTATAGTCCAAATTCTATTATTATCTAAAATTTTATGTTCATTTTTATACCCTTTTATTAATAACCACTATAAATAAATACCTAATAAATATTTTTATAGAATCGTAAAATAAACAATTTAATTTATTACAAAGTATTAAAAATTGCCAATGTAATAAACTATAAATAATAACAAATTAATAATAACCTTACACTGTAACATTTTTATTAAACGTACATAATATTAACTTAATCATAATTAACTTGTTTCTTACCATTTGATTCCAATACTTCAGAGGTCAGTCTAATAGTAAATGGATATTCGTGTGGGACAGTTGGTATCAGACCTTTTTCAGCCAAAGCACCATGTCCCATTTCTCTTCTACCTAGCGGCCCAATTTTACCAGTTTCTTTGGTAGCAAAAGGCGGAAACTCATAGTGGAGAAAGAAGTTCTTCTCTTTAACTCCACTGAAAACAAAAACAAAAATAATAGTGACAAATTGAATCTTCCTTTTCAAGGAGTAAACCACAGATTTTTAAAATTAAGATTTAAGAAATTTATTATTGATAAGGATTTTTTTATTTAGCCTGTTATCATTAAGAAGCGATCAAGCAAAACGCATTCCATTTAAAATAATTTAAAGAACTTAAATCTTCATTAATATTCCAGGTAAGAAGTGTTATTTTATGTGTAATGTCTAATGAACTCATATGTCATACAAATACGGGCATGTTGAATATATTCAATGAATTTTGGTGATGAAGCGCAAATTTATGCCATATGATATACATGGCTTGCTTTAAAAAATCGCAGGATGAGTTCATCATGCATTACAAATGATGCGATTTTCATGATGTGAACACAAAAATTATCTAAGTCACCAATGATTATGGAATTCTCATAGCATGAATTCCTGAAAATTCACAATGTCATAGAATGATCTCATGTCTCATACATAATATATTCATGGCGTGACTTTTGTTTGCGGTTCCAAGAATAGGGTTTTAAAAACAAATATTTTCTACACAGGGACTTTATTGTTCAAGTATGAATTACATAAAGACAATTTTATTATGTTTTACATTTGTTTTATTATCTTTACTGCTACTATAACTCCTTCGGCCTCACTTGAGAACTATGGGTTTGATACAAGAGTTCGATAATTCTACATCTACGGTTTGTCGACATCCTTGGATTGTTGACGATGATCCTTTGAGTAGAATACCCTTTTTTAATATAAAGATAAGCAAAAATGTAAAAAATAGCAATTAGGACATATAATAAAACCGTATATGCACTAACTCTATGGAAATGAATTGGAGCGTCATCTAAACCACTAATTTAAAGTCTGTTTAAATTTAAAGTTTATTTAATGCACTATGAATAGTTTTTATATCACAGTGATGCACGGCGCCTTGAAGAGAGCGGTCGGTTTGTTTGTAACGCGCTCGTACTTCCATAGTTCCATCACCGCTAAAGTTATTTCAAAAAAACAAAAAAACAAAATAAATAACGATTCAACACGTGATATACCAGACCCAAGTGCAAAATCAGTGCAAATTGCGTGTGGTACCTACTCCTGAATCTCCTGGATAAAAGTTGTGAGTGAGACGATCAGTTTAAACGAATAATCTCCTGGACTACCACACGTGCTAAAGTGGGCGGGTACTCCACTAGCCTATTTCTGGCGTATGGTCCGACCCGGCGACAAAAATCCGGGAGTGGCCTTAACCATCGACACTGTCATCCACGATCTCCTAGGGAAAATTTACCTGCCGCGGCATGCCGGGGTGAAAATTCGGATCCACCAAACACAGGTAACGCTGTGCAGTGGCGGGATACGTATGAGAACCGAAAGGGGGTAAAATAACCCTGGAAGATCAGTGTAAGGCATTGCCGATGGGGCCTGCCATACGTCCTAATACTCATACTCATATGAATAGTTTTTATATCATCTAAATCTAAATTTTCAAGTTGAATTTTATTTTCTTTAATGTATTTTCCATTATAGGTCTTTTTAAACTGTAGATGGGATTTGCACTTCATATTTGTCTTTAAGTTCTAACTCCCGATTATTGGAAATAAGTCCTTATTATCCGCACAATTAATTTTAGCTACTAAAGATGTGGGGCTAATGATGATCCATTGGTTGTTTCCTAGATTTTGAACCATAAGAGAGGATACACGGAACTACTGGAACTTGTTGGCAATTGCTGGTATTACTTAAATATTGTAATAGTTGAACTTCACATGGAGACTTATCAAAAATATTTAGAACATCAGGATTTCGGCATAGGTATTCTTCTGGTTTTACAATATCGCAGTTTGTGCTGAGTAATGCAAAGTTGTGATTTAAAATAAGGTATTCGGATTTAGAAATTATGATTTTAAAGGTATCATTTGTAAATACAGGAAATGGGTGTAGGTGAAATATATTAAAATTTTGTTGTTCAACTAAAGGAACTTGCAAAATAAAAATAATTTTACTTTCTTTAACATAGCTTTTGATTTTTCGAAAAGCAGAATATTTTCTATTTCAGGTTTAAATGAAAGTTTTTGATTATAAAGATGTTGATTTATGTTTAAAATTTCGCTAACTTAGTCCTTTGGATCAATAATTGAGTTGTGTAAGGTATTTAATTTTGAAAATGTAATTGCAATTTGTATTTTTTCTAATATGTCATAAATTAATTGAAACATAATAGACAATTGCGAAAATATTATTTGCAAATGAAAGAAAGATTTTCGTTGAAAAGCGTTTCGAGCTGTTCTATTTTGTTTTTTAATATATTTTGATTTTTTCATAATACACACATGGAAAAAAGTTAGGAATATTAATAAATTATAAACTTATGCTAGATTTTTCTTCGAGCAAAGAACCCACCAATATTATATATATATAGTTCAATACAATAAAAAAATGGAATACAGTAGAAACCACTAATATATGAACGTGACTCATCGGGTGCCGAACATATCTCACACATGCTAGCAGTAATGTTTTACTTGTCTTGTACATTCGATGCAGCGGTAAATGTACTCACACGTAGGTTTTTAAGCATCCGGTCTAAAATGCGCCATCTGTGATGTAAAACTGCCTAGGTGTTGGACAAAGATGGACATATGACGCTTGTGTCCTAGCTTGTTACTTAATTTTATTGGAAGTCAGTAGAGTTCGTGTTTTAGGAATTTATTTTATTTTATTACATAGTAAGGCAACCAACTTTACCGTCGGCCATTTGTTTTTATATGTCATATGATTGCATGATTTTGCATATCGTGTTTCTACTGTGTGTTTACGGATTAATAATCGTTTTAAACGTTGTAGTGGCAGTGGTTTATATTATGTAACACAGGTAGATGTCGTATAAAAATCCTTACCTAGAAATTCTAGGCTAGAATACAAAAATATTTTTATTATACATATAAATTTTGTACTAGTATTAGTTTAATACATTCTGAAGAAGCTACTGTGTAGCGAAACAATTGTCAATATTTAATAAATTTCGTGAAACTAACGCAAGTTGTTTTTATATCCACACAATTTAAATATCTTTCACTTTGTACCTGACCTGCGTAAACATTTTTGTTTTTTGTCACCAATTCTGAAATATTTGCGTTTACAGTTAAAAGAATAGTATATTCTGTAACAAGTTTGACGGTTTCACGAGAGGGGAATATGCAATTCCAAACGTGTTTCAGACTATACTAAGAATTTAATTGGAAGAAAGTGAGGTTGGGTCGGTCTAAAAATTTGTTATTAAAATCAGAGATGTCGCCACCAGTGTACGTTCTGTAATCAGATGATAGAATATTTCATTAAAGTTAAAAGAAAAGTTTATTTATTAATTAGTTTCTAAGAAAATTACATTTTATTTAATTATCGTAGATGTTAATTATGTTAGATGTTAATTATTTAACTTTAAAAGCAAATATATCATAAGTATAGCAACCAACATTACACTCAATTTTTTTTACAAAGGGGACTGCACTGGACCGTGACCTTCGATAGATTGCTTCGTACGAATGTGTCGGATGAGTCACGTTCATATATTAGTGGTTTCTACTGTATATTATTTTGTTTGCTTTGAACTTTACCAGTTGTCAATGGGACGTATTTATGTTTTTTTTGTAGTTTTAAGTTTTTATTCTTGAAATAAGTAATTATCATATGTTTTAATGTTGATTGGAGCGTTTTAGTAATTTGTCAACATGAAAAGAGTGCACTTGTTTATCGCAAACGCTAATAGGGCTATTGACATGTTTCAGGCTGTTATGAGCCAAGTGGCTGTTGGAAATGCACTAGGTGTGTCTCAAAGTGTCATTAGTACACAGGCGCTGTTTCTGAAAGGGCTCGCAGTGGAAGACCAAGATCTACCACCAGAAGACAAGATGGCTTGATTGGCATCACGCAGAAATGTAAACAGATCAGCTTCGAGGATTGCTGATGATTTAAGAAGAGCTAGCGGAGTTCGGATTACCTACAGGACGATTATAAATCGCCTACATAGTGTAAATTTGAGGGCTAGACCATGGCGCTCTGTACCTCTTAACATTCAACACCGTCGAAATCGCTTAGCTTGGTGTCGTGAAAGAATAGGATGGAATGCTGAATGGAACAGTGTTGTGTTTACAGACGAGTCGAGAGTATGCCTTCATAGTGATTCGAGACGAGTGCGAGTTTCGAGAGAAACTGGAGGACGAGTTCAACCTAGTTCATCCGTATGGAGGTGGCGGTGTCATGGTTTGGGCTGGAATTTTTTTTGGTGGTCGAACGGAGCTGTATTTACGCGATGGTACTTTGAATGGTCAGATACACTCTTAGAAAAGACCTGGTATTTGCAATGAAAATTTAGTTCCCAGAACCAATTTTATTAGTGAAAATAGGCACAACAAAAAAATATGTTGTGGGAACTAATACAAATTTGTTTTTACAGTTTGTTGTCGGAACAGCCAATATTGGTAGCTCCAACCAACAAGTTTAAGTGCATCGAAATTAGTTTTTTTTTCATACAAATAATTGATATTTAATGCAATCACATTAGTCTGTCATTTTAGCAGCGTCTAAGTTGTAACAACTGCACTTGCTATTTATCGCAACAAACATTGTATCATGCAGGAATTTATTTTTTAATTGAAATTACATGAAAAAAGGTACATTTAAAGAATTTAATAGTTGATATAATATAAATTTGTTTTGTATTGTAACTAAGTTATATTTAATATTAAATGCTTGCATTAGTAGCAACAACAAATTGGTATTATTCCACAGTACATACCTGCTTAGTAAATATAACACTTTTTGTGTAAATATTATAAAAAATAGAGAAAGGAAATTCATGCCCGTTCGTTTTATAAATATTTATTATAAATTAAAAAATAACAATATAACTGAAAACACCAAATTTTGGTTTAAACATTATAACAAAAATTAATAATTACTATAAGAAAACATTTATAAATATTT